ATGAAGATAATAAAATAAAATAGAAAGAAATGACTTAATTATGGTTTATGTTGAAGGACTTAAAAGTAGGCATGCATAATCGAAATCAACAGTAAAGTAATGCTTTAATAATTTAACAAAGTTTTAAAAAGACGGTAAAATGTGCCATGAAAAAGAACTAAAGTAAACTGGCAGAACAGGCAGATGAATGTAGGTGAACAGGATTTGACTAAGGCTGAATAAAGTCAAGAYGTACAGCTACAAGAAACTTGATGAGCGGACGGTAACAGGTGTGCTGATTGTCAATGAAACACAGGTGAGTGATGAGCTGGAAGAAGAGACTAATAGTGTCTCTGACCAGAACAATACCAACAACTTAACATCAGAAGACACACATCTTGTAACATTTAAAACTTTGAAGTCAAAGATCTAAAGTACGCTTTGAGCCTTAAAATGACTTTTAATTTATACGTCTTAATAAAATACACTATTAAATCAACTGCATAATTTAGGGTTTGCCCTYGTAGGGCACTATCTTTGAAGCTTGATTTTTTTCTCAACAACTCAATAAACAAGTTCTTTTTTAAATTTGTTTATTATCTGAATGCATTCACGCCCTAATTATGCTCAATCATGGCACACTCTATATTTTGCTCACCACTTTATTTCCCGTACTCTCTTTTAACAGCTTTTTATCTTTTCATTATCTATTTTTTCCCCCGTATGGTAATTTTTCACATCACTTTCTTTTCATCTTCTAAAAATTTTCTTTCATCTGTCTTCATCCTTTTGCTCGACTCAGACCCTTTGTTGGTTAAGGCGCTGGGTATGCGTGGGTAACCCCGGTGCCCATGTGAAGGCTGTGGACTTTTAGAGCCTCGGTGTCAGCAGATGAAAGCAGAGCGAGATTCTGGGGCTGGCACCCATCTCCTTCTGTCCTGCCACCATGGCCTCTTATTTCACAGAGAAAATTAATAACTTTGACAAACATCAATGAGCGAGGCCCTGGTGCTTGGTTGGCTTGTCGGCTGGTCTGGTGTGTGTGCATCTGGTCACACATGCCTCAATATTTGTGTCTTCCCCCTGTATGATCGTGTGCCTACACGAGCGAGCACATGGATCTGAGCTGATACCAAACGGCACAACAAAGCTGACAGGAAGAGTGTGTAACAGAGAAATTGACAGTTTGATAAATGGTAACAGAAAAAAATCACTTTAGCTGGAAATCAGGTTTTTGGTTTGGTCTGATCAGACTGCTGTCYGCTTGAAAGTCCCTGGTATCCCTTCTAAAGGCCAAAATGTAACGGAAAGATGGATGGATTTAGGAAAAGATGGATGGATGGGAACATGTGACCACTTCTGAAGCATTGTCGACAACCATACTGAACAGGCAACAGGCCTGGCTGGAGCCACTCCTGTATTTATGATCTTCAAAAGAAAGATGACACACACCCCCACACACACCCACATATATCCTCAGAAACGCTCACTCACACCCAAAATCGTTTGAAGACGTGCTTGTGCAAATGTGGATTCACAGTGATTTGCATAAATGCAAACTTCTGATCATATCTTTGCCCAACAAAGGGAACTTGTATCAATACTCATTTAGTAATGAGTCAGGTAACCTAACTCATAACCTTTTGCCAGGATGTGTTGATTGGCAGYATTTGAAGGTGTGACAGAATACTGCTTTCAGAGACTTGAAGAGCAATCTTTAAGTATTCTTTATTTCTTTGAGTAATCTTTAGTAATTAAGTAACAATACAATATGATATAAAATCACCGGTACTTGGGGAGCATAACCTAAGAACTTTGTTAAATTTTTTTCAAAATATTTCAAGGTTCACTGCAACAAACCCTGGGACTGACTATGGCGAAAACAAAAAACAAAAAAGAAAGAAAAAAAAACATTTCATTGCAGACATATTTGTGCTTTTGACATATAGCTAAAAAGGGGAAATATAAAAGGATATAATAGGAATTCATAGCTAAAGGCTTAAATCTTGGCATGTGTTTTCAAGGTTGTATGTTAACCATGCTGCAAACGCAAGAGTCAAAATGAAGTTATGTTGACATAGCAACTTATTTTTTGTCCATTTGACATGCAGCAAGATTGCACAAAACTATACTGATAAAATGTTGGAAAAATGGGGCACAGGCACACAAAGAGTTTGTGTAAATCTTGAGTGCTAAACTTTGTAAAATAAAGCAAAATGCGGTGAACTATATTCAATCTGCAWATAGTATTTAGCATAAATTTGATCAGAATGCTGAAAAAAAGTCCTATCAATGTTTCTAATAGTTATGAACATATTTTATTTAGAAATGAAGGCTGTACTTCTTGTTTTGGAGGAAGAAAAAAATCTGTGAATTAAAATACCTAACTTTAATTCGAACTGCAGACAAGTCAAAACTATTTCTTTACATCTTAAAAATCCATGTCTGTGGCACAACCACCTGAAAGCGACCATGAAGCAGGACTACTGTGACACTTTTGCAAATGTTGGTTTTTTCCAGCTAACAAGCAAAGAAAAGTTCCTTGTCCACAACGCAGTAAAACCTTACCAAAGCCTCTTTACCGCAACTTTAACTCCTCTGTGACAAAATGTGATTCCTTGTGACTTGTTTGTGTGTTTCGTACCAGGAAAGATTCAATAAATTTGCACAAGTGCCCGTAGACTTTCTATTTTAGCCGGAAAGTAAACACGGCTATAGATGGCTGTTTACTGTTTGGGAATCCTTCTCTTTGCCGTCCTCTGTTCCGCTGAGATACATGAAAAGCAGCGATGCAGCAGAAAATACCTTATGGTGTTTGCACTCACAAATAATAAATGGAAAACCTCAGGTCTGCACAGTTCRATTCATTCAAATAGGGGAGCCCTGAAAAACAGTGGTGAGACCACTGATTTTCTGCTGGCAAATATTTGAAGAGCTAATTTGGAGGGGCTGAGTTTGTCGATGTGCGTGTGTGTGTGTGTGTGGGAGGGGGTGTGCTGGTGTTTGTGTGTGTTTGTTATTCACATGCAGTCAGAGAACTAAGCGAGGGGGAAAAGTTATTAGGTTCAAAAAGTCTATTAGAAATTAATCCAACTGTCAAATGGTTAATAACTTTAGTCAGGGCTGTCAATCAACAGTGACCTTTGATCACATTTAATACTGGAATACAATTAAACAAAATGCTGCCAGAACAACCCATTCTGGGAAATTGATCAGTATAATCGACTTGTTTTGTCTGTTGTTTACAGTCCAAACCAAGAAAAAAAAACTAACAAAAAACTGGTTATCATTATGTCAAGGACACAGACTGACAAAGACATCTTGTGGGCTGTAGTAAAAGTTGCTCTCCTGACCGATAGCCAGGGGCACCCACAGAATGTTTTCTAAGGGCTGGTCAGAAGGGAGCTGCTGATAATCTTAAGGTGGCAATAAATAAATAAATAAATAAATAAATAAATAAATAAATAAATAAATAAATAAAGCCAAATGCTACAACGGAAGAAAGGGAACACACTAGTGATATCATTACTGTGTATTGGTGCTCATATCCATACTTGTATTCATAAAAATAGTCCAGTACYACAGTATTACTTTAGACACATCATGCAAAATCCACTTTTTCAGCCATTAAATGTATTCTGCTGTTCAGAAAATTTYAGTATCTCATGTTGTTGCAGTTTTTTAGTTTTTATTTTATTTTATTTTTTGGGGGGTGGTGTGGGGGTCTTATTTTTCAACTCATTCAGCTTTCTCTTTTTTAATGTCATTTCCTGAACAACCAAACTCTTTGAGGTGGAGCAACCATATAAGGTCTACAATTTTGTCGACTTCACTCTCCTCTGGCTCTGGGTCAGACTCTGGCTCCAACATGTAGGACTGGATGGACAAGTCGTCCACTGTTGACATCTTTTAACTAATTTGTAAATAAAAAGTTTCTGCGCTGCTGTGGTCACAAACCCCCTCGGAGAGTGAAGTGGCTTGTTTGGATTTAAAGAAACAGCATCAAAACGAACTAATCTGAGATCCACCTCAGAAAAAAAGGTGAAAGAGGGGCTTGTCGAGTTACAAGAAGCAGGAATTCAGACCAAAGCATTGCAGTTCCACTTTATTTAGAACCCAATTATATGATTTAGATGTACAAAAGAAGGATTTAAAAGCATTATGTGTYCACATTAAAGCTTTTTGACATTCACCTCAAATGCAAATCCTTGTAATTGCTTTTTTTTAATTGTTACGTCCCTAGTTGTTGATAAACATTTAARTATTGCTTTCTGGAAGTTTAAATGAATTCCATCCAGTGGTTCACAACATATTTTGCTGACAGACAGACAAATGCAGACACAGGTAATGTTTCTTTTGATGGTGGGTGATAATTAACCTRAATGAAAGTGAAACTTTGACCTCTCAGAAACTAAAATGAACCAAATGGACTCAGACTGTATTTCTTCCAGGAAGTCTACTTTAACCTTTGGATCATGTGACCCTCTCATTTTTTTTATGTAAAACTGGCTGGTGGGGGCGGGGGGGGGGGTATTGTAGTGGCGCCCTTGCTGCCACTGTAGTTTTGACCGGATTCTCCAGTGCGCCCTGTGCCCAGGAGAAGGGCGGGGAGGGTGGCAGAGTGCAAGGACAGAAGGAGTGAGGGAGGAAGGAGGAGGAAGAGGAGGAGGGTAGGCCTGGCAGGGTGCGGTCTAAAGTGGCAAGAGATCGTTTTGGATCACTCAATTCCTTTCAATTCATCTGGAAAGCTGCAGCTTGTTGCACGTGGAGAGGACGCAGTCCAGAGGGGGCATCCAGCAAGCCGCGGGGGGAAAGTGGCTGATGTGACAGTTCTCCTCGTGCACAAGAGAGAGAGGCAGAGAAACCACAACACTGCAACTTGGATATCAGCAACCTCTCTCTCTCTCTCTCTCTCTCTCTCTCTCTCTCTCTCTCTCTCTCTCTCTCTCTCTCT